CACTGAGCCCCCGGCCCGCCCCGCAGGTTTTCCGCCGTGACGCTTACCTGGCCGAGGCGCGGCAGGACCTGCTGCGGGGCGTGGAGGATTTCCTGGACGCCAGCATCGTCCTGCCGCCCTYCGAGCCCCCGAGCGAGCAGCTCCTCCGCGCTCTGGTCCCGCTGCAGCGGGAGCTGCTCCGCCGGCGCTACCAACCCCTGGAGAAACTGCACATCGAGGATTTCCACAAAGATCTGGGTACGGCAGCGASTTCCCCGCGGATTCCCGCATCCCCCGTGCCCGTGGCTGGCGGGACACCCGCCTGGCACCCACGGGTCCCCCATGGCCACCTGGTGTGTCCCCAGGGCCGGGCGAGCCGGTGGCGGCGGACGATGACGATCCCCTGCGCAGGACGGGGCGGCCTTTCGGGGGGCTGGTGCGGGACATCCGCCGCCGGTACCCCAAATATCTCAGCGACATCAAGGACGCGCTGAACCCGCAGTGCCTCGCTGCCGTCATCTTCATCTACTTCGCGGCGCTGTCACCCGCCATCACCTTCGGGGGCTTGCTGGGTAAGGGGAGGGACCGGCTGGGGACACGAGAGGCGATGGCGATGTCCCCACGATGGGAGTGAGCAGGGGGTGNCAATCCCGGTGCTCCGGGGGGTTATTGGGGTCAGCAGCCCCCAATCCCGGTGCTCCGGGGGGTTATTGGGGTCAGCAGCCCCCAATCCCGGTGCTGAGCGGTGTGGGGTGGGCTCAGCAGCCCCCAATCCCGGTGCTCCGGGGTGTGTGATGGGGTCAGCAGCCCCGATCCCGGTGCTCCGGGGGGTTATTGGGGTCAGCAGCCCCCAATCCCGGTGTTCTGGGGTGGTTATTGGGGTCAGCAGACCCCAATCCCGGTGCTCCGGGGGGGTTTTGGGGTCAGCAGCCTCCAATCCCAGTGCTGAGGGGTGTGGGATGGGCTCAGCAGCCCCCAATCCCGGTGCTCCGGGGGGTTATTTGGGTCAGCAGCCCCCAATCCCGGTGTTGAGGGGGTTATTGGGGTCAGCAGCCCCCGATCCCGGTGCTCCGGGGGGTTATTGGGGTCAGCAGGCCCCGATCCCGGTGCTCCGGGGGGTTATTGGGGTCAGCAGCCCCCAATCCCGGTGCTGAGGGGTGTGGGATGGGGTCAGCAGCCCCGATCCCGGTGCTGAGGGGTGTGGGATGGGGTCAGCAGCCCCCAATCCCGGTGCTGAGGGTGTGGGATGGGGTCAGCAGCCCCCAATCCCGGTGTTCTGGGGTGGTTATTGGGGTCAGCAGCCCCCAATCCCGGTGCTCCGGGGTGTGGGATGGGGTCAGCAGCCCCGATCCCGGTGCTGAGGGGGTTATTGGGATCAGCAGCCCCCGATCCCGGTGCTGAGGGGGTTATTGGGATCAGCAGCCCCCGATCCCGGTGCTGAGCGGTGTGGGATGGGGTCAGCAGCCCCCAATCCCGGTGCTCCGGGGGAGTTTTTGGGGTCAGCAGCCCCCAATCCCGGTGCTCCGGGGGGTTTTTGGGGTCAGCAGCCCCGATCCCGGTGCTGAGGGGGTTATTGGGATCAGCAGCCCCCGATCCCGGTGCTGAGCGGTGTGGGATGGGGTCACAGCGCTGTCCCCCACCCCAGCACCCACCATCTCCGCTCCCCATCAGGTGAGAAGACCAAGGG